TCAAATTTCATGTGGGCTTTTAAAACAGAACAAAAAAGTGCTTTGGGTTACTTAGCCATCTGGGCTGAGGACACCTGCTCACAAGGCAACGAGAGGTTTACAGTGGAGGGTCCATTTGAGGTGCTGCATTTGTATTCTTCCAGACTTGTGCACATGATCTGGATGGTAACAGCTTTTGTACAACCCTGTTAGCACAAGCAGTGGGAAAATTGACAGGAACCCTGAACAAGTGGAGAATTTTCTCAGCTGGGATACTGAGGGGTTTTTTGAGCACTTGCAGTCTTTCACCTGATGTGAGTCATAGAGCTGAAAAAGATTTATTTCTCCAGGTCACAAAGTCCTGGGTATTGCTATCACAGGCAACTGCATCCTGTCCTTCTGTCCATTAATTTGTCTGTCCCATGCTTAAAGCTAGTTGGATTATTTTTTAGCTCCACTGCTTGTTTTCTGGGACTTATTCCCTTTGATCTCCTTTCTTAGCCAGTATCTTTCTGTCATGCCAGCTGTGGTCTTAGCAGACCAATGCCCTAAATTACCTGGTGCAATCAAGAAAAGTCCTGAATTCTTCCCTATGACTGAACCCCCTGTGACCGTCCTTGAAGCACAGCCTGCCAAGATGTGCTCCTGCCCCCCCCCCTCCTCCAGAGACCTAGAGGTCATGTGACTCCACATCTTTGATCATCATCTTCTGCCCACCATCATCTTCCTCCATCCAGTCCAGCTCCAGTCAAGTTCATAAACTTCAAGCTGGTGACTGATTTTCCTCCTGTCGGTTCTTCATAATAGCATGACACCAGTCGAGTATCTCTTCAATGGCCTGACGCCGTCTGAAATCCATATTCTTTTCCTTTTATATTTCTGTCCGCAGATGGCTCTGTGTTCTGTGCTCTCCTGCTACTTGGTGTATTCTCTGACCATCACCTTTATACCCCAGACCTCTCAGTTTAGTTTTTCTTCCCAGGGACCCAGCTGTTCTTCTCCTCTTTGTTATTCCCAGTCTTTGGTTTCTTCTTGTTCTGCATCGCATCAAGCCCCTTTGTCAGCTTTTCTTTCTCAGTCACCAGTGTTTCTCCCTGTCCCTCTTGGGATCTGACCTTTCATGGTCACACCACTCCCAAAAGGTCCTCTTGTTCAGCAGGTCTCTGCAAACTTTAGATTGTCTGTCTCATTTGCACTTCATCTCTCTCTGACCGTATGTGAAGATGCCCTGTCTGAACTCTTCTCAGTTCTTTCCAGCTCATTTCTAGAGCTCAGCTCTGCCTCTGAGTTACTGTGGTCAAAACAAATAGCCATCCGCAGGCACACCCCATTTGTTCTTGCATTTCATTGTTTTCATTGTCTTCTCCAAGACAATGTCTTCATTGTATTCTGGATTGCATCCACTGGAAATATCTCCCCTGCGCACCCCTCCCCCTTATGCACACACATCCCAGAAAATAATAATAAGGGATTAAAAGTCCCACGGGTTTCCTCCCTTATAAACTCTATTTTTCTGCCTCCATTGGTTTGGCTGCCTGCTTGCCCATTGCTTACCTCCTCAGTCTGTTGCCCAAAAGAGCCCTCTCCTTGAAGGCTGACCGTTGAGTATCTGTCAGAGGTAAGGAATGGCAGAAGCCTCCCTCACATACCTGTTTGCAAACTGCAGTCAAACCACCAACTCCACAAACTAAAAGAGGAAGAAGGAAGCAGGCAGAGATGTGTGCACCCCATGCATGAGACCCTGCTCCTTCCTCCTCTGGTGGAAAGACCAGCGGTTAATAGGATGATGTCTTCTTTAAAATACTTGGGATCTTTCTTATGAGCTCGCTAGTGTTTTATGTCTACATTGTTATTTTCTCTCTAGAGATGTTTTGTGTGCTGAAAGTGACAAATTTATATTATGGGAGAATTATTGTTTCTGCTTTTATCCTATGTTTTATTCATTGCAAGCCATTAATTTAATATGGCTGTGATTATGTTACTGGTTGAAAACAGGCCACCTGTGGCATTTTGCACCAAATTGCTATAAACCAGTACACCCAGGTGAAAATCAGATCAGCAAAGCTATGCGGAGATGATGGTTGTGCTTCTGAGCTTACAACTGCGGGTTTCAGTTACCATCCTGAGAAAAGAAAGACTTGACTTGCAGGGTGAAGCTTTCTGCACCAACACTGGATCAGCTCTTCCCCCTCAGCCTGGTTCCTGTGGGTTAAACATTGAACAGTGAGGAAAAGTTCAGTAGTACCCTGATTTGGCTTATGTACTTAGATGGCTTGAAATGTTGCTATGTTCTTCTGTGAATGTAGGTATTATTAAATATTTGAATGATGGTCATACTCTCAAGTCCATTCTTGGACTGAGGCTGTGTTCCTGTAGAAAACATCTCCCATCCTTTGGAGGACACCATGTTCAAACCAAACAAAAGCAGGTCCATGTCATGCAGCGCAGAAACTGCCACATGCATTGCCACAGGAGCCAGCAGTGTCAACTGGGCTGAAAATAATTAGAGAAATTATTAGAATAAATTTCGGATGTAATCTCCAAATGCTGAAGCCCCTCAGCTACAGACAGTTGCAAGTGAGATGTGATGGCATGGCCTCTCCCCTTTTACTTTGTATCTGCTGGTGACCATGCATGGATAAGCCTCTATCAGAGCACCACCTCTGCACTTCAGAAAGACAATGGAGATCAGAATATAAAGAAACGTTAATTGTAACCTTCCGTATACTGAAGATGATGGTCCCATCATCCACACTGAGTTCACTGAAGTGAGCAACAGGTTCAGATCTGTAAACATGCATAGCCAAATGCTCTGTCCTCCAACCCTACCTGACCACAGCTAATAGAAATGGAAAGTCTTTGCACATATTTCTCCCATCTGGCAAACCATGAGGGTGTGCAAAACAAATCTGCCAGGTCACAAGCTATCAAAGCTCCTTACTCAACTTTTCCTTCTCCCAGAGCTTCCTCAGGCAGCAAACAGGCCCCTCCCCAGAAGTCATGCTGGCCCATGTGTGGGGCCAGTGGTGGTTCTCTGGTCTCCTGAGAAGCCTCTGCTTCTCCTGAGGCTTAAGACATTTTATTAATTTTTCATTAATAGATATTGTAAAAATGTATTAATATTTATATTGTGATAGGTTTAATAAGCAGGAGATATTATCAAGGAGACATGAAGTGTAGACTGTTACTGGAAAACACAGAGCAGCTTTCATACTTAGAAGTTAATCATCAAATTGCATGGCAATAACTCCCAACTATGCCTGATCTGTGCTTTGGTGTTTCAGGTTGCTTGTGTTACAACATGTCAGTGATGCTTCGGCTGGAGCTTTTCTCAATTGCAGTGGGAGCCTGGGGTGGTGGGGAAGGTGCAGGTGCTGGTGGGAGAGAGGGGTCTTACTGCAGCAAACCTACTTGCATTTTGAGAGCTCTGAAATATGGATTTGCATCAAAGTAGAACTCTCAGGGTTAGTTAAATATTCCTCTAAATATGCAAAGGAATTGAGTTACTGATGCTTGTTATTCTTATCTTACTTGGTGTCACAACATCATTAAGTTCAGGGAAGGTTTCACTTACTAAGACAGTTGTAAAGATTTCATGTTAATTAAGAGGACTCCACTGCAAATCCGAACATGAATGAAGTTTGGCTGCTGAGCCCAGGGCAGTGAATACTGTGGGAAGATCAAACATTGACAAATGTTGATTTAAAAAAACAAAAACCAAAAACCAAAAAACAAACAAAATGAAACAAGAGACCCACAAAAAACTCCGCCTAAATAATGTTTCAGTCTAGTACCTGTTTTGTGAGACAGGAAAAAGTTGAGTTCAAGTTGCCAGAAGGAAGAAGATGGCTTCTGACTTGAATTTACAATCAAAGGGTTGAAATTCTGTCCATGGGGAGCACTGCTGAGGGTTATCCTATGCCACATGTTCTTGGGGACTCAGCCACATCTCTCCGTTGCATGGTCTCCCTCTCCTTAGGCAGATGATCATTTTCATGTGGGGGGATCTTCAGCAGAGGAAGGGAGAAAATCTGGGCTTGATTCTGATCTTCTTTTGTTGCTTTGGAGAAGTACCATCAAGTCCAGTCAACCTCAACTAGTGCTCATACTACTGAGATGAAGCTTCACCTGAAGGGGATGGTTGCAGGTGATGGTAGGTGTCAGAAGACTGAGGCTTCCAAGGAAACTCTTGTGATGGAGTGAAGAATGAGACTAGAGATATTTTTTTCACCAAAAATCACTTTTGGGGGGAGTTTTTCATACTTGACAGTGCTTGGAAGACTAGAGCAGTAGCTGGTAGCTAAGGTAGGCAGTTATCATTTAGGATATATGCATTTCTCTTGCAACTCCAATGCAGAGTTGCTCTTGTCTGAATTGGGGCAATAGGACAAGAGGGAATGGCCTCGAGTTGCACCAGGAAATGTTTAGTCTGGATATTAGGAAGTATTTCTTTACAGAAGGGGTTGTTAGATGTTGGAATGGGCTGCCCAGGGCAGTGGTGGAGTCCCCATCCCTGGAGGGGCTTAAGAGTCGGGTTGACCCAGCACTGAGAGGTATGGTGTAGTTGAGAATGATCAGTGTTATGTTAATGGTTGGACTGGATGATCTTCAAGGTCTTTTTCAATTTAGATGATTCTTGATTCTGACTCCTCTCCTCTTTATGTCTCTGCTCACCCATCTGGAGATAGTAACAGATACCTGCCTTTGCAAAGCAGTTTTTGGTGATGTGAAGGGTGCTGCAGAGGTGCAGAGCACTGCTCTGCCTTCTAAAGATGGACTTTGAGAAAGAAAATGGTGATGTATAGCATTTTAACCTTGCCAAAATATATTGGACTTGGCTTTTGGAGTGGAAAAGTGAAAATACAATAGTCTAAATAAATAGCATTTGTCCTCTTAAGCAGGGTAAGGGCAGCATATGAGGTTGTGCAGGAGTTTTTTATTGTTGTTATTTTTTATTCACGGTTCCTTGAGCTGATTCTGGGAATTGTACTGACTGTGGTTATGTTTCTGGAAATGTGCAGGTTGGCCAGATGCAGTGGGGCATGGAGTGAACAGAAAGAGGTTAAATTGATGGATGACCAACAAGAGCAGGATTGTGCCTCAGAAGACCAAGAAACTATCCTGATTAATGGGGTGAAAGAAAATGGTAAGGAATTTAATTACCATACATAAGGGAGCAGTGACAAGTTGCAAGCCAACTTATTTTCCTAATTCCTTTAGTGTATTTAATTTTAGGGGCTTGCAGGTATGTCTGCAATGTGGAGCAGTAGGGTAAATGGGTGTTTTCTGCACAGATGTCACTCCAGCTATGAATCTGTACCTTTTTAGGGCTTAACAAATACTGCTTTTTCCCATGCATATGCATGGTTGGAAATGTTTATGTGCACATGCAGTTTGAATTACAGATTTTAGTTTGGTTTATTAGGGAAAAAAGTCATACAAGACTATGTAGCCTCTCTGTCTGTTGGGAATCTTTCCCTCTCTTAGCAGTTACTTATGAACCCACTAGCCAATCTCAGCAAAATTTGACTGAAGGATACTTAGTCCCTACAAACTGGGGAAAAACTAGAGATTGGGTAGAAAAAACAAACCCGCATTAGCAGCTGGGGAAAGGGAAGGTTGGACTTGCAAGCTCATCATTGCCTTTTCTGTCCGGCCCGTCAGCCAACACGTGGGATTCCCCAGCCTGTAACACTGCTTCTGTGTATGCACAGGTGCTGCTGGCCACCGTCGTGCTCCTGGGAGCCACTAAGTAATTCTGGCTTTCATCGGCATCAAGAAGGATCAGCCCCCTCCTGCAACCTGCCCAAAATACCTAACTTTGTCTGTATCTATTTAATCGATTCCATACTCACTTTCAAAAGCAGTAACTAATTAGGAGTAACAGTGCTCTGCTACCTGAAAACCTGATTGAAATAAATACGCCTCTGGAAATCTGACCCTATTAGATATCAAGGACATGGTCCTCTGACATCTTGTATGTTCAAATCCTTCTGTCATCTCAAAACAAGTCACATAGAGGCAAATGTTGTTCTTCTTCATTAACAAAATCCTGGAGCAACTCCAGACATACAGGTACCTGTGAGGACCCTGCAATGTGTTCTGGTGGCAGGTGAAGTGTGTACTTGTGCTTGCCCCTATGATGTAATTTTAGAAGTATTTGTCAGCCCATCTCCTTCATGACCACACGTGGTAAAGTCACAGCTGCTGGAGGTGCAAGGAGATTTTCTAGCCATGGTCCCCTTGTCTAATCCAATAGGCAGTAAAATCAGTGCTTACCTGCTCAGTAAAGATGGGTGATTTCTAGAATCTGATACTGCTTCCATGAAATTCAATTAAACAGGGCTTTAAAAGCACTTTAATTAAACCTTGCTGTGTAGGAGTTGCTGCTGAATCCAAAGCAGTGAGCCAGCAAGTAGCTCTGATGCCACCATTTCCCTGTTGATGGCACTGGGGATGGAGCTGATGCTTTTTGCCTCCTCTCACCCTAACTATAAATGGTTGCTGGCAGCAGTGAACCCAGAGCAGCCCTTGGGCTGCTGGAGTGCCCAGTTAGGGACTGGCCTCCCTTTGAAGCTGATTGACAGCGGGATGGTTCAGTATTTTTCTGCTCAGGTTCCCCACATGCTTTTGGATGGCTGTTGAGTTAAACTGGGAAGTGGTTTTGCTTCTCCAGCATTTTCTTTTTTAGCTGTAGTCTTTTGGAGTATTGTTTACTTTAGAGGATCAGTTGATCATGTGCCCAATTTTAGGATGAAAAGCCCTAGAAAATCAAGTTTTGGCATTTGTATTTGTATTTTCAAATCAAGTTTTAGCATTTATATACTTGTGTAGTTTACTTACACAAATATAAACCTAAAGAAACACCCAGAGACAGTTTAGTTTATATAATAGCATCTCTGAGTATTGAATGCAACATTTGAGATTGAAGTTCAGCTTTCTACCTCCCCCTTTTTTGAATCTTACAGCATTCACAGACTTTCTTCTTTTATCCTCAAATTTTCCTTGCTTCCTGTCAGCTCCAAGCTGATTTTTAATTTTATTTTACTTCTGAAGTGGAACTGCACTAGTTAATTTGTTTTGGTGCTTAAGGAAAAAGATACCACCTCTGCATTTCTGATCTAAAAACTGGTGGGAGGGACTCAAAAATCATCTATTTTTTTAACCCTTTTTGAGGGAAGGGAAGCAGCACAGATTTCAAACAAGTCAGTCTGGTCTTTTCCAAGCCACACATGTTGAGGATGTTTACAGGCATTGCATTGCACTTCTGGTTTGATTTGTATAGTGTCTGGAAAATTGTTTAAAGTCCTTAGAGCACGGCAAGGCTCTGACTGCAGCTTGCTTGTACTGGCTTAAGACTTTACCAGTGGTTCTGTCCCTAAGGCCCCTGTAGCACAAAACTGCGAGGAGATTTTGGGATGAGATTAGGGGGGTTTTGACCTTGTCTAAGTGTTATGCAGGCAGCCCTCCATCTCACCCCACTCCTTTTCATATTGCCCACCTGCAGGTGGGAGCCCTGCTCTGCTTGGCAACACCAGTGGGGCGGCACAGGGGGTGTCTCGTCCTGCCGGTGGTACATGTGCCTCCGTGAGCCTTCCCTTACCAGCTGGTGTCAGTTGGCATAGGTGCCGGAGGAGGCTTGCTTTTCTAATGTTTTGAATAAAAACACTTGTCACAGAGGGTCGTAGCATCTGTGTGGGTGCCAGATCCCTTCGAATGCCCCATTTCTTGCAACAGCCTGGTGCTCCATTTGCGTTTTAAAGTGCTTGTCCCACCTCAGAAAGTCTGTGCTGCTTCTGCTCTCACCCCTGCAGCCTTCAGTGGAGCCACTGAAAAGGTAAGACGTGAGCCACTACAAAAGCACCAGGCACAGCTCTGAGTAGGCAGAGGTCTCCGGCTGGTGTGAATGCACACATCGGTATATATATTTTTAATACAGAGATATCAGAGCATGTTTGTGGATGAAAAGACACTGTATTTAAATTTCAAGAGTCATATTATCCGTTGAGCCACAAGTCAGATAAAAGTATATTCATAACTTTATTCTGCCATAAAAGAATGCAATGAGATAAAAATTAAAAATCCTTAGGTTCAAAAAAAATTCTTTACATTATTAAAAAGGGATTTTTAGAGATTAGGGAAGAATGGCAAAACCTGCAATAATTCCAACAATAATTGCTTTAAACTCTGTGTTACCTTCTACTTTCTCTTGGCATGGACAGTGACAAAAAAATACTACTGTGTTTTTAAAAATAGCTGTAACTTTCTGACTCTCAAGTAGTAATGCAGTTCAGGTATGTTTAAGCTGCAGACACCGCAGGGGGGATGCTTTGTTTCTTTAAGAATCTTATTTTTCCATTAATTTTTTCAATGTTAATGGGAACATTTTTATTAGGCTTGTTTTGTTTTTTAATAACCTTGTCAGATTTGAAAGGCAGTATCCAGGTAACGGTATGTATATGAGGAGGAAAGAACGGATGGGTTTGGTTTTTTAAATGTAGTCTTGTATCTCTTCCAGCTGGCTGCAGGGGGGAGAGTGTTTACCTCTCCCTTCCTTGCACATCACCACATTAATTAGATCCCTAAGGGAAGGATCACGCTCTTGCAAGAAGGGCATCTGCCACTTCCTAAAGGAGTGGTTGGGAAAAGTTGCCACCAAGCCCTAGGGAGAAGGGGAGTAGGGTGGTGAGCCTGAGCAGAACTGCAAGGGTTGTAAACCCTCTCTTTCTTTCTTTTCTCCCTCCCTTTTCCTTTACTCCGCCCAGAATCGCACGCCCTGGATGGCGATGAGAGGCCTTGCACCGCCGCTGAGGCCGCAGTCACATTCTCAGCCTTGACGACAGCTCAGAAGGAAAACCACGCGTGCCACCGGGCACTGCCTCCCCTGACTTCAAAGAAGCCCTGTTTGCTGAGCCCCCCGTCGCCTCTGAGGCTCACGGATGTACCCGAGCACGCCTCGGATGACTCCTCTGCCCACGCCATCTCCCTCACGTCCTGCGTGACAAAGGGCATGAGCTCCTGGTCGCTGCCGGGCGACTGCGAGAAGGCTCCCTTCACCATGATGGAGCCTGGAGGCATGTCGGCATTGACAGGAGACTGCTTGATGCAGCCAAGCCGGACCTGTCTGGGCTGCTTTATTGAATCAAAGGACGGCATTGATGCAGAGCCGGGAATAAGCTTGAAAGTGGGGGATATAAATAGGGATTATGACACCTGTTCGGTCTCTGATATAGGGATTCACTGCATGAGCACAGGAGAAACCATGAGATATGGGGATCAACTGCTTTCAGACCAGCTTTTAAGCTTCCCTATGCATAAATCGAGGGCAGCAGACAAAAGAGATGCAGAAAAATCTGACAGTGATTCAGAGGACCCCACTCAGAAAAATTATTACGAGGGATTACTATTAGACAAATGCAATGGTGAGGAACCTTTACTAACAAATCCCAACCAGGAATGGGGCTATTTTGAATCTTTCATTAGTGAAAGTAAAATCGAGCTGCTTGACCTCTGCTCCAAAAATGAGCTTTCTGTAAATCTGTTTTCTGAGGAAGACGTGGATAATTACATGTTCGATGATGACGATTCCACCTTGGGAAGTGATGTCTGCTCCCTAAAGATTAGATATGAATCTTTTCAGGACAACGTGCGGGAGAAGACCACCACCCTACAAGAGGATGCCCAGTTCAACTTCTTCCCCAGCGTGTTTGGGAACTGCACCAAAAGGGACAGCAGGAGCACCCTAAAAAGGGGGCCCAGCGGTACCACCGACCCTTCTCAATTCAAATCTGAGGAAGGCATCATCTGGGGGGAGGAGGAGGAGGATGGTGAGGAAGAGGATGGTGAGGAGGAGGAGAAAGCTGCCTTAAATAAATCTTGCAACAGCACGGAGATGGTGCAGTACGTGGGCTCCAAGAGGAGCCACTTCTTGGACTCGGTGAATTCCACAGAGGATTCTGGGGAGTTCAGCGATGACAGCACTTGCACAGAATCCTCCTACGATGTGCTGCGGGATATCAAGGACTGCAGCCGGTACCTGTCCCGGGACCACTCTGGCTCCTTCATTCAGCAAAACTACGGGTTGCGGGCAAAGAGGAAAGTGCGATACAGTGATGATTACCTGTACGATGTGGACTCCATCGAGAACGAGAAGATCCTGGACAAGAAGGAGTGGCTCCCAGATGGGCCCAAGGAAGAGGATGATGATGAGTGGTGCCCCAAGAAACGGCGAAAAGTCTCTCGCAAGGAGCCCCCCGTTATCATCAAGTACATCATTATTAACAGGTTTAAAGGGGAGAAACATATGCTGGTGAAGCTCAGCAAAGTGGATGCCAATGAGACAACTGTTACCCTAAACGAGGAGCTGCTCAGCAAATACAAGAAGCTGGCCCCACTGAAGGGCTTCTGGCAAGAGAGGCAGCAGAGCCGGCTGGATTTGCTCAGATCGTCTCTCTACCACAAGCAGAATTTCTATCTTAACGGCTCAGATGCTTCATTCCTCCCTCACCCACGGAAGCGAAAATGCAAGCTAGCAAACAGGCACCGGATTCAAAGAATTAAAGCCATCGAGCAATCAGTGAACAAGCTGGGCTCTTGCTCCTCTGATCACAAGCAGCCTTGCAGCAGTAAAGAAGATACGGGCCTGAAAGGGCTGCCGGCATTAGCCATCGCCACCCCCAGCTGTGCCAACGGATTACATGTACATGACATCACGGGCATTGCTGCCGTGAAATGCAAATCGCAGGAGCGGGAGCACAAGGGGACAGAGAGGAAAGTGCTCCGCAGAATCAAATTCAAAAGTGAAGCCAGGTTGAAGTGCAAGAAGATCAAAGCTGCTACCAGTACGGTGGAGGGCTCCCCAGCGCTGGAAAACCAGGACTCTGCAGCGCGTCTGAAGGACGAAAACGTTCCTTGTGCTTCAGACAGCTCCCATCTCCCGGAGTGCCACGAGGATAAAGTTGCTAAAAATTCTCCTTTCCTACCATCCACCTCCTCTTCAGACAAGCCTCTGCCATCTGCTAATATCACCACCAATGTACCCCTGATCCCCGGAGGGTATCTGCAGACGTTGTTAGATGCTTCTGATTTGTCAAGCAACACCGGTATCTCATACTTCGCCCAGCATCCCTCCGAGCAGCAGCAGCACCCGCTCCCCAGCATCATCCCAGCAGAAAAGCCCTTCCCAGCTCTGCAGCCAGCGCAGAGCTGCGTGCTCTCCCCGCCTTCTGAGTCAGAGTTACAGCAGTCACCTGGCCACTTGGAGATGGAGCAGAGCAGCTTCGGTAGCATGTGGCCAGCCAGCAAGGCTGCTGGCAGCAACCGCCAGGACTTCCCCGGCGACGTGCGGGAGGCAGCCGGGCTGCCGAGCGAGTTCAGCGGCGGTGCTGTGGGTGCAGACGGCCTCCCCGCCTCTGGATACACTCAAGTCAATCTGAATAGCAGCAAATTGCTATACCAAAAAAATTACATGCCGGATAGCCAACAAGTGCAGTCTGATGATTCTTATCAGTCATGTCATTTTAATAATGGAGAGGGGCGCTTTCATTTCCAACGAGGTACACTAAGTACAGATGATGGCAGGCTCATTAGTTTTGATTCAGTGGGTTCATTGTCAGTTAGTTCTAGCAATTACAGTTCTTTAAGTTTAAAGTCTTGTGAAAAGGACGGCGAGGATGATATTAATGATGATTTCTTGGCCCACTGCAGTCCCAAGCTAGTGATCCAGCAGAGCATAGATGAAATCACTCCTTTGAAGGAGTCCACGGACCTTTTAGATATTTCCAACTTCACGCCTGATAAGTTCCGCCAGTCATCGCTTTCAGAGATGTCCCCTCCGGACACTCCCAACCTGTCCCCACAGATAGCTGGCTCCGACACCAAGCCTCTGGGTACACTGAAGGGCTTTCAGGAGAGCCCTCAGGCTGCCCTCAACAGCTCTGAGAAGGTCAAATGGAACTGTGGGGTCCTGCAGACCGAGGAGCAGGCAGATAATGGGTTTGCTTTAAATAATCACCAGTTCCAGTTCCATATGTTCAACGATGAAGATTCTGTCAGCCTTCTCGAAAAGAGTCCATGCTTGTCAACATTTAATGAGCCATCTGGTCAAATTAGCACCAATAGCAAAGTGTCAAAATCGAAGAGGAAAAGTTCATCCAACAAGAATGTGGGTACAAACCAAAGCTCTTCCCAGAAAGCCACCCGGAAAAAATCACCCAAAACTAACAAAGGAACCGATAAGCCGCAAGGGAAAAACTCCAGGCAGGCACCCAAATCAACCAGGAAAGGGAAGAATGCAGCAGGAGTCAACAACGAGAAGGCTCCAGCCGTTGGCAGCAGGGCAGTCAACCAGCTGAGCAATGTGGCCACCACCACCAAGGGCCTTGCCGAGAGCGCTCAGCATTGCAGCCCGGCCGGAGTGAAGCTGGGCAAGCACAATGGGCTTTCCGGAGAGTGGGCGCTGGGAAAAGAGGGGGGCACGGGCTGGTCGGAAGCTAGCCTGGGCAACGCCACCAGCCTTCTGGACGATGATCAGAGGGAGTTTGAGGAACCTTCCAACATCCTGTCCAACATCGCGTCGGGAATGGCGGATGTCCAGAGGTTTATGATGGCCTCCATTGAGCCCTTGTGGGGGCCTGTTGGCCACAACAGCGTTCCAGACATATTCCGGTCACCGGAGTCCAACAGCCTAAAACTGAAAACTCTTAAAATTTTGGCAGGGACATCCCAAGAGTCGAAAAAGAAGGCGAATGGTGGCTCGCCGGGAGCGGCAAAGAACCACAAGTCGAACAACAAGGGCTCAAGCAAAAATGGCAAAGCTGCAACCTGCGATCCCGGTCGCCCTAACTGCTCAACCGGGTACACCACGGACCTTCACGCTCCCTTTTTTGATAAAAACTATAGTAACCTGAGCACTTTAGGCAATAACGGACCTACCCATAAAAAACTCTATCGTCATAAATCCAGTTCAAAATCACTGAGGGATGAGAACTGTAAAATTAAGCGAACGGACCGCGAACAGCCCCACAAGGACACCCCTGTGACAGCTGCTTTTGAGAAACTGAGGTAATGCTGCACCAAACTGGCTGGAATGCCCCTTAACCTCCCTCCCACCTGCTAAGCCCGCTGTTCCTCAGTTTTTCCTTCCTGAAAGCAAAAGTTGCATGAAAAAAAGACATTCCCCTTTTACAGTTTTGGTTGGTTTTGGTTTTGGGGTTGGTTTTTTTCTTTATTTGTTTTTTTTTTAAATGCATGAAAATACTTATTACTTGCAAGCTACCTAAAAGAATGACCAATTATCTGGCTTGGCTGGGGTTAAAAAAACTAACAAGGCTACTCTTTTCTGCTGTTTGGCTTCTTCAGTTTTTAATTACTTATTTATTGGGGCAAAAAAACAAAACAAAACATGATTACATGCTCTTTTTAATGATTTTGATGAGGAAAGACTTTTTTTTTTGGAACATTTTGTAAAAAATAAACCACAAAAAAAAAGGTTATGCATCCGAAAGCCAAGATCTCGAAACCTAAAAGGCTATTTACTTTGCAAATGAGAACTCGTTCCTAATTGAGCTTCACGTGGCAATTTTGAGTGCTTTCTGGCCCCCTCTGCTGTTTTATCTCCTAACCTGCATCATCTAAAGCTGCATCTTCTGTACCCACCCGCCTTTAGCGCGTACGCTCCGTCGTGGTGACTCCAGACGAGCTAACTAAGATGGCATCAAATGTTTGATTTTTTCCTGCAGGGAATCAGACTCCATTCTTCTTAAAGCAGAAACAACATTTTTGGGTTTTCCTGTATTTGAAGAAGAGACTTTTTTTTTTTTTTTTTTTTTTTTTTTTTGGTTGGGGTTTTTTTCCCGTCGGTTCCTTTTCAAAATCTGCCTTGTGGTATGTTGAAATGTAAGTGCTGAAATGAAGAGTTTGAAATTGTGGGAATTTTATTATTTGAAAGCAAACCTAATCTGGTATTCTCTGTGAAAGACTGTTTTAAAAGTCATACTGTTGTACAGTAGTTTATGCACTATTACCCACAACAACAAAAATTGTGCCAAACTATGAACAAGTGACTGTATTGTATATATTTTTACTTCTCTATCAACATTGGGTTGTGAGTGTTTTCTGCAGCTATGCCTTTTGGTTTTACTAGAAACATTCCAGTTGTTAAGTACTAACCACCCCCCTTTGAAAGCACCTGTAACTCACAATGAAAATGATATTGCTCACTTATACAACTTACCAAAAGTTTTATGGACATGACTAAAAGTGTGCCAAATTTACTTACCTCATTTCATGGATTCACCCTGTGGTTTAAAGCTCATAAAGGGAAAAAAAAAAAAAAGAAAAAACGAACTTTGAAACCAATGCTGGGAAATGGTAATGTCCTCTCTTTGAAACCATGAGCAGAAAAACTTATGGTGAAATGTTGAGTTTCATTATAGGAGAGAGTTGAAATGGTGGAGGAGTTCAGAAAACCACTGACGGTAAGTTTGCCAGGAACTCAAGTGTCTGCATCTAGAGACTACAGAACAGCTGCTTTTCAAGTGTCTGTTTTCTTAAAGCAAAACCTGTAGCTGAAGATCATTTGAAATGCAAAGTTACATTGCTAATTCTTTGTATCTCAGTTTTATATATTTTATAAGAACCTGGGATAAATTCTAAAATAGTTATAAAAACAGAACTAATACATTTCATACATTTATTGCTATTTACTTTTCCTTTGAGTAGTTTCTTAAACATTTTTGATGCAGAGCCTGTCAAAGGCGCTCTTCTATCATAGCTTTGGTGTTTCCTAAATGTCTAACCTTGCAATGCCAATATAGTTTGAACTTTCAAAAGCAAAGTCATTAGTTTTAAATACAACTCTGAACCTTTTCTTTGATTCAGTTCATAAGATAAGAAAAAAAACGGAGCTATTTGTGATCTCACTGATCAGGGCCGGATCATACATGACTGGACTTTATTAAGACAGCATTAAATATTGAATGCTAAATGTATTCTCAAAAGGCCTTATTTGTAACCCTACTCACCACACCCTCGCCCTCCTCGAGAATAACAAACCCAACAAATATCTATTTTCCTTGTGCAACTGAGAGCCTGTGCATTTTGCTGCTGATTTCTTATGAAATCTTGATATGCAAGAGCCCTGCTAACTGGGAGCTATTGGGAGCAGAGGGATGCGAGGCTTGGACATGTGGATGCAATAGAAAACAATGAGGAAGAGGAGCCTTAATAGCAGTTGGGCAGGTCACATTCTTGATGTGGTTGTGAGCATAGAGGTGGTGTTTCACAGAGGACAGGACTAGATTTGGGTTTCCTTACAAGTAGGGTTTTTTTCAGGCCAAGCGCAAGGCAAAACAGCAGAATTGTTTTAAGTTAATTTAGCAAATAAGCAGACTGAACGCTTAAAACTGAAGTGGAGTTGCAGAGTGTCAGTGTAGAATCAAAATGTTTTCAGCATTTGCAGATCTTGAGGTATAGTTTAGGCTCAGCTCTGCAGTCCCAGAGAGAACAGCACGGTAATTGCACTGCATTTATTTAACTGATGAAAGAAGGAACTCTGAAAAAATAGTAATTCTGAAAAGCGTCCTGTAAGTTCATTTATTCCATGAAAAAACGAAATGCTGGCATTGCCCTGAGTGAGTTGCTCCAGTGAGAGCAGTCCCTGGGTGCCCCATGGGTTGCAGTGTGTGGGAGTGGGGTGCAGCTTCCCACCCTGGCTCTAACTCCAGAAGGGAGATCCAGAAGACGCTCAGGATTTATCTGGGAGACAAGAGCTGTGCTAGGGCTCCATCCCTGGGCATTTGGCTTGCCTGCAGCCACTGTGCTCTCCCCTGCTTCCCCAGCAGCTGTCTTTTCTATTCGTAGGGTCATCAGATACTACAAGCTCCAGCCACTGCTGTGGTGTTGGCATATCCTGTTTTTTCAGCGTTCCTCCCCCATGCTGCAGGATGAGGGGCTGCCAGCTCCCTTCTTTCAGATGTTCAGGCTGCGGCTGCTATGGAGACAGGTCAGATCCAGGGCTGGGGTGTAGCACGGCCCTTCTTTTTGACCCAGAACCATCATTTGAAAGCACATTTTGACTGGCCTGCACTGTGCTCGTTATGCTTAATATTATGAATATGGGACTTGTAATAAAATACCTTGTACTGAACCAGATAGCAATATTTATTGCATTCGAGAAATGTGCAATAGGGCATGAAGATAAGGCATAAAACATATTGACTATTTTATTGTATGTTGGAAATCCATGAATACCCAGCTAGGTGTTTCAGGACAGTGTTAATCACAAATACCAGCTGCCTTGTTGAGCTCTCCTTCAGTCCTTCTGTCACTCCAATTTTGCTGCCATCTTCAGTGATCATCCCATGTCCTCCCCAAAAATCTCTGACCAGGGAGATGTTAAAGAGCCCACATCCCTCACAGTGTGGCACTGGCCCTTCTCTGTGTGTCTGAAAAAGTGATCTCTGCTGACTGACCCCAAAATTTAAAAATTGCCTTGAGCTCTCTTCCCTTCTGATCTTTTTAGAATTATAGAATGGTTTGGGTTGGAAGGGACCTTTAAAGATCATCAAGTCCAACCCCTGCTGCAATGAGCAGGGACATCTTCAACAAGATCAGGTTGCTCAGAGCTCTGTCCAACCTGTTTCCAGGGAGGGGCCATCTGCCATCTCTCTGGGCAACCTGTTCCAGTGTTTCACCACTACTCATAAAAAAATTCTCCCTTAAGTCCTTCTCTGCAGGGCTGCTCTCAATCCCTTCATTCCACAGCCTGTATTGATACCAGGGGTTGCCCTAACCCAAATGCAGGACCTTGCACTTGGTCTTGTTGAACCTCATGAGATTCACACTTCTCAAGCTTGTCCAGGTCCCTCTGGATGGCATCACATCCCTCAGGTGTGTCAACTGCACCACTCAGCTTGGCATTGTCTGCAAATTGGCTGAGGGGGGACTTGATCCCACTGTCTTTGTCATTGATGAAGATATTAAATAGTACTGGTCCCAGTACAGACCCCGAAGGGACACCACTCGCCACTGATCTCCATCTGGACATTGAGCCATTCATTGACCACTACCCACTGGATGTGACGATCCAACTATTTCCTCATCCACTGAACAGCCCATCCATCAAATCCATATCTCTCCAATTTAGAAGGAAGGATATTGTGGGGCACTACGTCAAAGACCTTACGGAAGTCCAGAGATGACATCTGTAGCTCTTCCCTTCTCTACTTGTATAGTCACTCCATCACAGAAGGCCACTAGGTTGGTCAGGCATGACTTGCCCTTGGTGAAGCCATGCTGGCTGCTTCAAATCACCTCCCTTTCCTCATGTGCCTTGGCACAGCTTCTAGGGGGATGTGTTCCATGATCTTCCCAATCACAGAGGTGAGGCTGGCAGGTTGGTGGTTCCCGGAGTCCTCCCTACGGGTGCAATGTTTCCCTTTTTCCAGTCACTGGGGACTTCACCTGACTGCCATGACTTTTCAAATGTCATGGAGAGTGGCTTGGCAAGTACATCAGCCAGTTCCTCAGGACTCTCGGATGAATCTTGTCAAGTCCCATAGACTTACATATGTTCAGATTCCTCAGGTGGTCACAAACCTGATCTTCTCTTACAGTGGGAGGGTCTTTGCTCCCCCAATCCCTGTTTTACGGTCCATCCCCTTGAGAGGTGTGGGAAGAGAGGTTGCCAGCGAAGACTGGGGAGAAAAAGTTGTTGAGTACCTCAGCCTTCTCCTCGGCCATTGTTACCAGTTTGCCAGTCTTGTTCATCGGGGAGGGGGGTATGCTTTCTTTGACCTTCCTTGTCTGGCTGACATACCTGTAGAACCCCTTCTTACTATTCTTTGCATCCCTTGCCAAGTTCAGCTCTAGCCGTGCCTTGGCCTTCCTGACCCTATCCCTACACAACCAGGCAGTGTTTCTGTACCCCTCCCAGGATACCTTTCCCTGCTGCCACTGTGTGCATTTCCTTCTTGCCCTTTAGTCTGACCAGCAGGTCTCGACTCAGCCATGCCGGTCTCTTGCCTTCCTTTCCTGATTTCTTACACCTGGGGATCGAGAGCTCTTGCACTCTATGGAAAGCATCCTTAAAAGATCTGCCAGCTCTGTTCCACTCCCTTGTCCCTGAGGGAAGTTTCACAGTTAGTTACCGACTAGCTGAACAGCTGGAAGCTTGCTTTCCTAAAATTCATCACCTGCCTATCGCTACCTCAAGGTTTTCATCACTTCCCACCTTTGTTTCATTCCTTGCCATATGAGCTTGCTATTTTCATTTGCCCCTTCTTGTCATTATTGGTGAATTTTTGTTTTTCACAGTGCTGCTCCCAGCTGTGGGAGGACTGAGAACATCGGTCCCATCCATCCCTGCCCATCATCTGCAGACCTCCGGGCTCCCGACATTGGCTCCCATCTCAGCTCATCCTCCTGCCCAGTCCCAGTGCACTTCCAGCCTCCTCTCACATCTTCTAATTGGGCTCCTGGCTGCTTGGAAAGACTAATCCAAGCCACGCAAAAGATGTTTATGCTGTAGCATCCCCTAAATTGTCTTTTCTACTTTATCATTTCACTCCTACTCTAGAGGCGTCCTACCAGGCAATGTATGAGAGGACTAGTGTCAGTGATGCTGCTCTTCTAAGCCACACTGTGCTGGCACACTGTGGTTTGGGCAATTTATAATCAGCAGTGAAATTAGGAAGCAAAAACTGGCTGCTTGCAAAGGAAGGTCATAAAAACCATCTGAGAGGAGACCAATGTGGGGCAGCTCAGCATGAGCCCCTGGCTCTTGCTCTACCTCCAAGCTGGAGGCAGAAGCTGCCTGCGAGCAGGGCAAGGGGGCACTGGCTGCCCTCCTGCAGGAGCGCAGGTCTCCCATGGTATGGGGAAAGCATCTGTTTCTCTGCAGCAACCACACTGTGCCGAGGGTGTCCTGCAGAAAGAGACCCTACAGCAACCTAGCAGTAGCCAGCCCACACCCAATGGCCATAGTTTTGCTGGAGGTACTTGCATATAGAGGTTTTGTAAATAGGAAAATATCAGTGATGGGGATTTGAGCAATCGTTTGTTTTTTTGGGGTTTTTTTAAATCTTATCAGGTTTACATCTTGCTTTTCCCTTTTTAAGCATAGGAGGATTTTTTTTAAAAAATAAAATGGTTTGAGAATAATGATTTGTAGTCCAGATTTAGCCAGGCATTTTGGGAGGAGGAGGTCAGCAGCAGCATGCAGGGTTGTCCCTTGCTGGTGCTGCACTGTCCCGCTGAGGCTGGGTCTGTGTGGAGAGAAAAAGCCAAGGCTGGCTTCAGCCCTGTGGTGGCTGCTTTCTGAAACCATTGCTGCATGGCTTCTTTTTTAAAAAGTCAGGATTGCTGTTATTTTTTTCAGCATTACGGCTCAGATGAGCCACAAACCAAAATAAAGATATTTTAAACATTTTCATCCTTTACCTGCTGGACCATATTCTTCTTTCCGTAAGGTCCCAATCCAGCAAAGCACTTAAATGGGAGCTCGCTCCCAGGAGCTCCTGCTCCCTAAAGGCTTTCCTGGATGGCAGCTGGCCGTTGCCGTTAAGTCATGAGAAAAAACTCCCTTAAGTCAGTGTAAGTGAGGAGAGGATCAGCTGTGTGGACTTCAGTTGGTGCAGGATCAGGCCCTCAGTTCTTACTTTCTCAACTTGGTGTGTTGGACTTTGCCTATGCAGCTCCCAGGGGGTCCATTGGAAGTTGCATGGTTCAAGCCACTGACATCTATTTGAGAATGTGCCTCTTTATCTCTTCAGTGTGTGAAATAATGCAAAAAAAAAAAAAAAAAAAAAAAAAAAAAAAAAAAAAAAAAAAAAAAAAAAAAAAGAAAAAATATAAAATAAACAAAGTACAATGTCTGTGGTAGAAGCAAG